TACTCTTTGGTCCTTAGGGAGTACTCTTTACACGCATGCATGGAGTATTCGCGATTTTTGCAGGGGTTTATTTGTATCTGTGGCAGTATAGCTAAGGCGTTCAGCGTTTCAGCTGTGCGTTTGTGCGAAACTAAAAGTGCGAAACGTTGCCATATGTTGGTTGTAAAAAACTGTCGAATATTTCACATTTGCGCACTTTGGCTCAAACGCGCACAGTTTTGCCTTAAAGAGTGAACTCTAGTAATGTATCTGAGTACATTCATTAAGTGGCTTACCGAAACCACAACATACCAATTGTAGGCATTTCACTGGCAAAACGATTTCGCGCGAACAAAATTCGCTCATAGCAGAACCGCCGCCTAGGTTTTCCCATCGCTTCAGCAACATCTCTTTATGATTAGCTTTATCATCGATGCTCACCACGAGGTATATGGTACCAAGGTGTTCGACTATTTGCCCTTTTTTCCAAAACCGGGTTTTGAGTTATTTGAAAAATTGCAATTTGAAAAAACCGGCACCCGATTTTGATTTTATGAAAAAACCGGATAAACCGGGTTTATTTTGGTTAGTTTTCATACAGTTAAAATGCTTATGTTGGTATGAAGTCATGACTAAAATTACAATAAAACTAAAGATAGCTTTATTTAGAAAAGAGCAAGCAAAATAAGTTCAAAGTTTGTTTTAACTTTTTTTAATACTTTACTGAATTTTTTCTGACTTTTTCTCGGATTTGAGTAGTTACTCTTACCTATAAAAATATTGCAATCAAATTCGTAAGTTTATTTTCATTTTGTTCGATATCGATTACCATGGAATGAGCCATACGTAAACTTTCAAACTTTATACAGAATTTAGAAAAGATTAAAAAGTTCACAATTTTCTGAATTCTATACGAAGTTTGACTGGTAAAATTTTGGTAAAAGCATGAACCACATTTTTATAAAAAACCAACAAAAATATTTAGCTTGAAAAGCAATGCAAATATTTAACAAAAATCACCATGCACTCACTTTCAATCGCCAGGGTACATTTGAGACCCATTCTATAATTATATTTGCGATCAAGTTGAGGATCATAATTATTGCCATACAAAAAAACATTTTTAGGAATGCTACAATTCTCCATTTGAGGTACTAACTACTGAGAAAAAAAGTTGCGATATTTAAGAGGTACGTTAACTCTCAACTTTACCGCAAGTTCAAATCAAACCTAAATGCTTATTGGGTAGGGAGAACATTGCAAAAATTATTACATTTGTACGCACTAAAAATTATGTGCTGTAAAAATATTCCTTAAACATCATCAATTAGCAATATTGCCGCATATGCGTCCTGTATTATAAGTGGACAGTCCTGTTATTCGTCATGAGAATGAAATGTCTAAAAAATGATATTGCATAGAGAGAAAAGCACCCAATAAAATGGAACAAAAATAATAAGATATCTCTACGGTTTTTTGTTAAGAAGATATTCCTCTTGCTTCCAGAGGGCAAATCTTTTCAATAAAACCAAAAAGAAATCTTATGGTTTTTATAACGTTGTCTAATTAAATGTTAAAACTAGAAATTGAAAAAAGTCCACGCCGACCTGTTCTCGATCTCGTAACCTTCTGAGAGGCAGTTTACAGCTCTACCTACTCGCAACGGTGGTCTCCTTACCGAGAGTATTCTACTGGATTAATATGAAAAAAAAGAAAAACTTTTCAACAAATTCCAGAATACATCACATACAATTAAGAAGTAATTTTCATGAAACAGTATTACAGTAAAACCCGCTTAAGTGCCCCTCACGAAAAATTGCAGCTTTTTGAAATCTTAAAATTTCATCAAGATTACAAACTTTTTTCTCAGAAGTGTTTATATAGCTCATTCAATTTTAGTGTAATAATGTGCAAGTTTCAAATGGCTAAAAATTACGGTTGAATTTTTAGAATTTTTCGCCGAACGTGTTGCGGGAGCACTTAAAAGGAGAAAATTATAAGTAAAATGGTAAATGGGGTACGAAAAATGTAGGTACTTACACGGGTTGGGTAAATAAGCGGGGAGGTACTTAAAAGAGGGCTTTTCTTCAGATTACATTACAGTATTCACGGCGACCAAAAATGTTGGTTACTTAAGCGGCAGGTACTTAAGCGGGTTTCACTGTACATAGGTTTGTTAAACCTTTCCAGTAAGCACTAGCAGCGAGAGCGTAAACACGAAATTGAGATAAAAAATAAAAATAAATCAATAAAATAAAAAAAAAATAAGAAACAAGGTTTAACTCGTACACCCTCAGAATTTCGGGTAAATTGTGAATTGTTTGCCCTTTTTTAACCGACTTCCAAAAAAGGAGGAGGTTATCAGTTCGTCGGAATATTTTTTTTTTTTATGTATGTTACCGAACAACTTTGGACCACGTTAACCGATTTCGATAATCCGATCAGTGGATCATAAGATATATATATATATATATATATATATTTTTTTATATGAGAGTTGAAGTCGGTTTTTTCTTTGCTAAAAATTACTTGTTGATTTCTGTTTTTGTCATGATGCAATTATCTGTCCAATATGCCTCGATGTGGAGGCAATTTTCAAATTTTGTGAAAAAGAGAAGATAACTACATATTTGGTGAAACCACGAAAAAAAACTATTTCTGTTTGTATGAATAATTGCTTCTTCAACAACTTCAACTCAAAAGCAGAAGGCTAAAAGGAAAATGTAATAGTAAAGAAGTTCTCACAGTTGGGAAAGGAAGATTATGGGGAAAAAAATTCGGAACAATAAGTTTTGTCACGTATTCGTTTGCCATAAATATGGTCACCGTACCTAAAGCAGAACCCAAAAGTTTGGAATATTATTTTTCATATAACCCGAATTAAAATATCTGATCTATGAAATCTCGAGCACTTTAATTTCGGGCTATGAGAAGTGTGATTTCCCCAGTTTTCTAGCGATAACATAAGAAAAATTTCGGTCTGATACCGCAACTTCTGTCAAAGAGAAACGTTGAACTAACACACACACTACACTGTTTTCTCTTGCAAGAGTTTTGCTTTAGATAATGCTTTTCCTATAAAACCTGTATATAGAAAACCCGAAAATTTTATTTTCCGCCGTAGTGTTAAATTGCAAATGGAAAGACGCTTCGAAGCATTTGTACAATGGTATCTTCTTACTGATCGAGGTGCGAAGAGAACAGTATCTATTTATACATACATATGCACATACATAGTTATTTCGAAATTTCTAAATATGTACATATTTGCGTCAAAACACCCATATCCACCAACAACAATGCATGTTTATATGAGAAACGCTTCCCGTCGTTGAACCCAAACGCGTGCCAGAAGAGTTCAGATGAAGATACAGCGCACATTTTTTTAATTATTTTTCCGCACTACACAACGTGCGATTTGCAAAAACTTGTCTTGCCAATTCGAGCAAGTGGGAAAGGTCGAGTGAAATTGGAAGAAAAATATTGAAAACAACTTACATGCTAGAAGCCACAAACACGACGAATTCAAGCTCACAACACATTGCTCCGATTCAAGATTTAAGACACTACCAGCAAAAATTAGCTACTAGTTGTGATTTATATAAAGATGAATTTACCGGATGACAAGCAGTTAGTACGTGAAAATAACATATCGAAAATGGGTTTGCATGCAAAACTGGCGTGGATAGCATTATTTTTTTGCTTGGGTTTGGTAAGCTGGCTACTACCGTCAACAATGCATTAATGGACTGTTTGTTTTTTTGTGAATCCCATCAAAAATAAATATACCAACAATGTGTTTTACATATAGATTGCTTTGGCCCATTGTGTACCGATCGAAGTCATCTATACCGGTGAAGGCTGTGATTGCCCGTCGAAGTTGGACTATACCGTAAATGTGCCAAGTGTGCCGAAATCAAAGAAATGCCCGTATACGCCTAGCGAGTACGGTTATAAGGTGGACGTACCAATTTCGCGTCCAGCAAAAGCGAAAGTGACATACAGTTTCGATTTCACAGTCGAAGAGCCACGTACACCGAAGCCTGCCAAACCGTCCACATTAAATCTGTTCGCCAAAGTCGATCGTGTGGCAGTCAAAAAGGGCGGTGAGTTTCGATTTAAACGAGTGTTTGCAGGCGTACGAATGATAAATGATAATAACAATTAATTTCTTAAAGATTGCGTAGATAGTGATACCGCACCATCTGCCCCGTCCACTTGCCGTTGTGGACAATGCGGCATCACCAAACCGCTCTATAGGTATGTATTCGACAATATGCCATCCCAACCGCCATGCAAGTGCCGGCGACCGAACTGTAAATGCAATCGTTGTCGCGCGGCTTCAACTCCATACTCGCCAAATGCGATTTTAAGGGGTCCTTCTCTAAGTGACATGACGCCAATGGCTATGAACTTGGAAACTGGTAGTGGTGGTGATGAAAATGATGGTTACGTCAAAGACGGCAGTGGCGGTGCGGAGGTTGGCGCTGTTAATATACGTCGTAAACGCGATTTACAACGCACACTCTTCCGACCTCGCAAGATGACCAGGGAACGCCCAGGTCGCTTTGTAAAGTTATACCACAAAAATCTGTCCGATACACCGCGCCGCCTATTTGACTTTGATGGCCTCTCTAACAAGCAGCTAGACCAACAACAAACTGCGAAGAAAACGAAGCGAAAGGCGAAGAGGACGCACTACAAACGTCAACGCTCACGGCTAGTGAAGCGCGACATCAAGGGTGAGTACGAACTGCTAGAAAAGGAGCGTGATCAGATGGATCTGACTTTGCCTGAAATCATACAATTCATGCCCGAAACATTGCGGCCCAATTTTAAGAGAGGTCAATGTTATTTCGGCTGTGGATCGAAGCGTCCCATCAACCCGCCCAAGTCAACACATAGTAACACCGACAACCCCGGCAACAGCAGCGACCCTAGCTCAACCGAATTCAATGTAAGCAGCAAAGAAGTCAACGAAAACACGGCCGCCACCATAACATACACCGACAGTAATAGCAGCAATGACGAAATCTTCGACATGAATACGGATAGGATTGCTGATGAAGACGCCAATGCAGATAAAGGAACTGATAATAACCAATTCACACAAACTGAGAAGATGACCATTAACGAAGAAAACTCAGACAAAGAAACACACAAAGACTCTGCCATACAAAATGACATCGGTTCTTCACACACAAAACGCCAAGCGGCAAACTATTATTCCGGTGGGTCAGCGTCATCGGCTGAATCAGCAAACCCCAGCTGTAGCGAGTGCTTGCCCGCATTGTTGACGAAAAGAGCTTACCGCGCAAATTTGCCGCCAGCGCCACCGTTTTCCACTAACCCAAATTACAAACCACAACAACCGACATACTCGCAGAAATCTGCATATTCAGCAGCGCAGCCAACAACAGAAAATGCGCCAACGTCGCCCTATTTTGACGATCGCATGGGTCGTAAGTACTTAGAATGGAATGATTACATGCGTGATGTGACCTCCGCATTGTCGGTGCCAGATCCGCTAGATCATCACGCGATTCCATTGCGATATGATGGCGATTTAGAATCACCAACACCGGCCTACTCCAGCAGTTACCCGCAAGATATGCCGCCAAATGCAGCAGCCCAAAACTATCCAGTGCAACATATTACTAACGAACAAATCGATAAGATAATCGCCGACATTGTTTATCGACATCCAGCTTTCATAGATGCCACATCGCACTTTGGTGGCGCGTTAGTGGATCCCGAACCGTGGCAAGAGCTGGAAACAGTAGCATTTCTTAAAAAACTTATCGATGGTCGGTTGAGTTTATGGTTTGGCAAAGAAGATGAACACAAATATGGTTTACCACCGCAGCTGCACAACCTCCAGCCGCCGCTCTACTACTAAACCCCCAACAAAAGCAATTATGATTTTAAAATTTGGTTTAACAAATTTTTAGTAGATACCACAACGCGCTTTCAGCGACCTGCCTGCTTCCCTAATTAGTAGTAATAACTGTAAATACTTAAATGTAATTTGAGCTGCAACTAGATAGTAAATAATAAATTTCCAGCTGCAATAT